AATTTGGACGAAATTTCATATTAAAAAACCTAGTTATTTTGTTGTGATTATATAATATTATTCGTGGGTACGGGGTACCTACTTGAAACTTCTAAAGTGTACTATTATATATCTATGATAGTATCAGGGTTTGTTATTGATGTTGATGTATAACATGTTATAAGTACCTAATGGATATTGTGATAATGTGATATGATTAATTTGGAATTTATTATATGTCAATTTTTTTTTTAATACCATAGATATGTATATAATTTGTCTTAAACCTAGACTGACATACCGTCTTCGCTCAGAATCGTTTTTCTTATACAATGATATTGTATCATTGAATTCAAATTTAAAAGCATCCATTATACAGTGACCCACTTGTAACCTACTGTACAGCAGAGCGACATCCACTTACCCACCTTTTTATAGATAAATATATAAATTTTATTTAAACGTTGCTATTATGTTTTTTGCTGATTTCCTACGGTAACTTTAAAAATGGGTTTACAATGCATAGATAAAGTTATATTAACTAGTTAAACCAAATTAAATGATGCTTAAAATGATTTGGAAAATATTAGATCATAACTATAATACGAACGATAATTTAAAAACTATTTTAAACAAATTTAACACCGAACCGGCTGTAACTATACGTAGGTACAGGGTGTCCCATGATGATATGCTAACTTAAAATTGTAGAATAGTAAAATTTGCAGTAATACCTACCCTACAACTTTTAGTTATTACATTCTCATGGGATATACTGTATAATAAGATAGATGATAAGCTTATGAAAAGTAATAACTAGATTTATTGAGCATAATATAATATACGCATAACATTACCTATGCGTTAAGTTTTAACAGGAATTGTCGTAATGATTATAACTTATAACAACTATTTGCATGTTTATTTTATTTTAACAGCAAACATATGCAATATAAAGAATATAGTAAAAACAATTTTTTTTTCATTTCATATTACTGTAAACAATATTATATTCACCAAAGCACGCTGTAAATTTACAATTTACTCGAATTTGTGTTAGAATAACATAAATCGCCACACCACTGCAGAATATAAACAAGATGTCCAGTTATATCAAATATATTATACTAATATACTACCTGTATGTGTATACATACATATATTTAAATTTAAAAGAGACAAAAAAATACTGTTACCTATATATTATATTCCATTGTATATTGTAATTGCGTTTCTCTTGATGCGGTAATACGAAACCTCAACACTTAAACAATAGGGTGAATTCAAATATACAATGGAAAAATCGCTTAACCTATATATTATATATTATTATGCATATTTCAATATTTGATCATGTAGGTATTGAATTTTTTTTACAAAACGCATGGGTTTTTTTTTATGTAAAGTGGATGTGGATTCATAATATTATACGCGTATATATAGTATAGGTATATTGTTTGATTCTGCTACGTGTGCTCGTGCAATGGACGAATGAAAAAAATACTTCTATTGTAAGGTTTGGTTGTCATTTAATAATAATAATAATGTGGATACGTGGTGGTGTATCATTAAGTCAATCATTTTGGTAATATATTATGTATATGGAATGTAGATATTTGAAAAAATATTGTGTTGCGATTAATTGTAAATAAATAAATCAAATAAATACTGGATCAATACCGGATAAACTATAACATACATATTGCAGAGATTGATGTTATTAATATTTTTAAAATGTGATTAAATCATAATAAATATAATACGATTAAATTAAACCTCTGGACTAAAAAGAAAAGTCTATACTTCAAAATTGAAATATTTTATCAAATAAAAAAACATACAAACTTGTAATATCGTTGACATTTATGTAACTAACACATTTAACCATATTCGAATGGTAGTTCAAATGTCAGAGAACAATAATTGAATATCTTTGCTAGGCACATTATTATACGTAGCATTATACTTTATAGTTTATTAGTTTATGATTAATCGTGTATTCGTGTGGTACAATTCACAATAAATCATCAAACTATAAAATAGATATACTAACTGGGGAATATGTTAACATTTTTTAACATGTTTTCAAAACTATTTATTTGTTATCTAACATGAAAATTGTCCTTAAATTTAAACATTGTAACATAACGTTCTAAAAAAAGACATATTTTATTTTATATACAATATAATATATATACAGATTTTTGAATACATTATGCGATGGTCATAGGCGCTATTAGGTAAATTATTAAGAGACGCGTACACCTCTGAAAACGCTTATAAGCCCACTCGAAAACGGTTGTCGTAATATAATAGTAATAATATACAACCTACGTATACACACATTCGGAGCTATAAAATTAAAAATCCAATTGAACTTGGCAAGCCTAATTGTTTATCTTAGGAGAGCTTGTGATGCTAACTGTGCATATATATTAAGTTGTTAAAATATTATATTATAAATACACTTCTTTACAGGTTCTATCTAAAGGTCCAAGTAGAGGGTATGAAAACAATAATGATATAATTGCGTTAGAATTTCACTTGTAATAAACGAGCATACCTATATGTATATATAATGTACATTGTATTATGTATATACAGAGTGATTCACAAAGAATGATCATCCTCTTTTTTCTTCAATAATGCAGTTATTCAAAATCCGATTTTTGGAATTTTTAAATATACTTTTGACCATATTTTCAAATTCTTGAGATTATATACTGAAGGGATGTCCTGTGCAGATACAAACTTCTATTTTTCAAGCGAGAACAACCCTTTTCAATTATAAATTATACAGTGGATAATTTTTTTGAAAATGAATCGGAATCAAAATTAGTCCAAGTAGTTTTTGAGGTATTTAACTTTGTGTTCAAAGGATAAAAGGACCATAGTAATGGGTGTATATTGTATAATACATGGGGATTTCAAATGTTAGTCATTACTCATTAATAAATAATATTAATCTACCAATACATCAACACTTTGTAAAAATTATCCTTAAGTATTTGAATTAAGTACATCGACATTTTCAAAAAAATTATCCATTACATAATTTACATTAAAAGGGGGAGGAAGGTGACTCTCATTTAAAAAACAGAAGTATGTATCTCCACAAGAGACTCCTTCAGTAGATAGCACAAAAAAAATCAAGAATTTGAAAGTATGGTCTAGAGTAAATTTAAAAATTCCAAAACTTAGAATTAGAATAAATTTATTATTTGAAGTAAAAATGGGGTTGAGAAACCTTGGTACACCCGGTATATAATATACACTATATAAATGAAAAAATGAAAATATTTCATTGTTAAAGACGCACCCCGATTCATTTGTAAGGCGACAATAATAATGTCTTAATTGTTTTTTCCCTAAGTATTTATTTTTTATTTTTTTATTTTTTTAAGCTCTTCATGGTAATATTTTTTTTAACAATAAAAGCAAACATTAAGTTAAGTTCCTTATTCATTGTTTTTAAAAAGACATTAATTTATTCATTTCTCATCTCAAATAATTTTTGTCAGATTTTGCAGCATTTTTGGCGGGAGTTTGATGAAATGGCGATTCTTGTATTATAAAAATGTATGTCAAATCATTCTGATTGTAATGAAGTAAACTTAATTTTGATTTTTTCCTCTAAGTATGCTTTTCTGATAGCTTTTGAATAATGTTCACTAAAATATCATAATCTCCACAATTGTATTATACTATCTAGGACCTTTATTTTAGCCAGAAATATGTGAAATGTTCGTTTTATACCGTCGAAATTATTTCGTTCGTCATTGAAGTAATGTAATAATAAATAATGGATGGCTGATAAAATAATTATCGGAATACAGGTTAATGTAGTTTTATCAAAATGACCGTTTTGACTTTTGAAAAGGGAAAAAATAATTAAATATTTTACGCTTTAATTAAATAAACGGTTTTTAACGTTTTATTTTATAAGTAAAAGTATTTTATATTTACTAGGTAGGTATTATCACAAAAAGTAGAAAAAAATGTCTCCCTTTTTCAAAAAAACATAGTTATATTTATGGCAGACCATAAAACTTATTTTTATTGAAATTATGCCCGGATCTTCAGGTTTATTATTTTTATATTAACAAGTTATTTTAAGAAATGGTTTATTATATCATTTGTGCCCAACCAGCGGCCCGTGGGCTGAATCCGGCCCACGGAAGTATTCCAACCGGCCCTTGACCATTTTATAAAATTAGAAATTTCTATATAAATATAAATTAAAAAAAAAAATGTTATTTTTTTATAAGCTTTTGAAGCATTTTAATAATTAAAATTTAATCCATTATTTTTTGCAAACAAGAATTGAGAAACCTGCAGTTTTGATTGACGAAAACAAACTATAGTGACCTTCAGTGTGGAAATATTCAGTACTTTATACACACAAAGTACAATTATAATAATAGTCATAAATTCGATTAGTGATCAAAGATAATATTATTCGATATAAATATATTTATTGTATACTTTATCAAAATGAACCGGTACTTATATACGGCCGTCAGTATAATGTATAAATATTAAAATATACATTTCAAATGTGACTCGCAAGTTGAAAAACATTGGGCACTTCTGGTTTATATGATAGGTAGGAAAAGTACGAAATAAATTGTCGTGTTTGCACATTTTCAAAAGGTATGAAGTGGATGAATTTCTCCTAAATTACAAATGACAACTTCTAAATTTATACTTTGCAAAATATTATTATAATACTTATATAAGGAAGCTATATGGTACAAATTTACACCAAAAAACGTTGAACCTATTTTGATACACATTTTTTTTTCACCCCAGACATAATACGATATTATAACAATAACAATATATTTAAGTCGAAACAAATATAGTTTGGACGTCACCTGCGCCGCGGGGCTGTGTAAATCGTGAGAACAAAACAACTGATCGGATACAATATATTATATACAATACAATATTATTATTTTTATTATTATTGTAACATACTACGCTTGTCATTGCAGAACAGCACTATTGTTGTGTGGCTTTTAAAATATACGCGTCGGGTTTATCCGCTGACAGCGTTTCGTCCGCTTGGGCATGGTGCCGTCGGCGATCACTCGGCCGCCCAGATGACCGTGCGTCAACCAGTACTCGGACCGGGGCGCCACGTAAGGTTCCGGTGGCGCGGGCCCCGAGTACGTGATGTTGGTGCGCGGCGAAGCGGTGCAGGCCAGACGTTCGCAGGCCGTGGCCGTCGTCCCCGCGGCGGTCGTAGGGCCTCCGCCCGTCGGTTCCGGCCGCCGCGACGACCACTTGGCCACCGCGGCCGCGCGCGACGGCAGCAAATAGTCGCGGCCGTAAGTACTCAGCGTGACGTCCACGCGCAGCGGAATCGCGAGCTCGGGGGGCACGGCGTTTTCGACGACGGTCCGGTCGGCCAACAGCCGGTCGAATCGAGCCACGGCCACCGACGACGGCCGCGGCGGCTGACTGTCACTGCAAATATTTCGCTCATCTTCGCCGCCGCCCGTCGACGACGACGGCTTTCGATACGCCGACTGGTAAATCGTTCTCGGTTTCCACCGGCGGCCGTCCGTTTTCACCATTGTTATGGTATTATTATTATCATTAATACTTCGACTAACGTAATTTTAAGACTTCCGACTTGCCCTCAGCGGTGTTTGTCTTCGATGTCATTGTTATTATTATTATAATCATTATAGCAACACACAATAATAATATTATATTATTATGCATGTTGGTTCGTGGTTATATTATTATCGATATTGATTTTACTTATTATATTTTTATTTTTTACTGTTTATTATTTTTCGTATATGACCATATTATACAGGACGGGCCACGGGAATAGGGACAAAAATAGGCAGGCTTTTCTCAACATTGAATGTGAGTAGGAAGGTTATACATAAGCTCATTCGATCCGTCAGATAATGCCATTTCGCTGTCACTATGGCGCAGTGGAGTGTAGTTCACCATGTGTTTGCGTACGAAGCGTTTGTGAAAAACAATGAATCGGTAGTTAAGGTGTAGCGCGCATTCAGACTTCACTTCAGCGTCGGACTTCGCGGTGCTGCTCTCAATGGGAAAACAATTATGAGATGGGTAGAAAGTTTTCGAACGGGGACAGTTAATGAAAAAAAACCAAATGGTCCCAAACGTACTGTAACAACTCCCGAGAATACGGAGTCTTACCGTCTGAATGCGCGCTGCACCTTAACTACCGATTCATAATGGCATTATCTGACAGATCGAATGAGCATATCTAACCTTCCTACTCAGTACTCACATTCAACGTTGAGAAAAACCTGTCTATTTTTGTCCCTATCCTCATGGGCCACCCTGTATATACGGAGTACGGGTTCATTACACGTTTAGTGTTGCCAGAAAATCCTTAATCATATTATTAATTATTATTATGGACCTTATCATCTAAGACCGTGTTCTGGAGTGATAAGAATGAATGATCAAATTTGTTTTATCAAATTAATGTTGAATGAACGAAAAAAGTCGTACGACATCGAACGCGTTCAAATATCCCTCGATTGAACGCTTAATGCTCAATTCATGGCTCATTCACGTAAAATAGAACGCGGTCTTTCCAAACAACCTCTTAAAAAAATAATAAACACATTGAAATGCTTATCTACCTGCCACTCGCATTATACACCTATAGGATAAACAATTCTAATAGCTATAGCAAACCGATCACCGTTCGTCATTTTTGTGACAAATCGTCATCAAGAATGAAAAAAATATAACTCCTATATTATTAATTTGATTGTTAATCCAGGAATATTACGATTTTGTGTTTTCAAACCTTTAGAACACAAATTTTTAAATTTTTTTTTTTTGCATGATTATTATCATTGAATTTATTCGAAAATTTAACACATTTCACGGTTTACGGTAAAAATATATAATCACCCTGTATCTACACTGGCGTCTTGACATCATAGTAGTTCGTATGTAGTTGGTACGCACAATAATAATACGTATTAGGTACCATAGTGAATTCATAACACATCCGCCCGATTATTTAAGTATAGGTACTTAATAGGTATTGAGAACTGAAATATCACTCGGCAGGATCAACGTTTTTACATAGGCCCGCCTTTATAATATAATAATTTACCTAAGCCCAAACCGTTTTATTATTTTTAAATATTCGTGCATTCAATAATATTAAATACGTCAGCACGTAGGGATGTTGTATAGTATAATATGGTTTAATAGCCGACTGAATGGCCTTCCCCTAGCTCAAAACTTCGGTGCCATGCCTGCTATTATATAATATAATTTACTTCATTATATATTATAATAATCTAAAACAGCATCCTGCTATATTTTAAAACTCACATAACCGTTAAAGCTTAATAAATATATTAATAATTCATGTTTTAAAAATAATATCGTTAACGTTAGACCAATAAATTGTTTGTCTTTACGAAAAACGTAAAAAAATAATTTTAGTTTGTTCCATGGGTGGGGGTGGGGGGTTAACCAAAAGTTACTTGAATTTATAATACATTTGGTAATCCAAATTATTACGGTAATAATTTTCAAAAATATTAATTTAAAAAAGTTATCGGTTACACGCCTTGCATACCACGTATGATGTCCCTTCGTCAAACAAGTGTGTAATTTATTAACATAAACATTAAACCCAGGTTTTTTTTATCATAAAAATATAAAATATAAACATAGACCTTAGTTACTATAATATTATCGTTACCCCCTCACACTTAATCACACTTTTAATCTTAAATATCATTAATAGCCAATAAGAATATTTTATAAATCACTTTCCAATAATATTTACGACAAGTAATTAATAGTTCTTAGTGAGCTTCAGTTTGCTATGCTGAGCGTGCAAGTCACAAAAAATGCAGATAAGACATTGAGGATGATATTATGGCTCCATCTTAAAAACATTCCTGCCGTCCAATATGTTATAAATGTATTATATTTTTTTTTTTATCTTTTTATTGGTTTAAATCAACGGTCAGCAACCTTTTTGATGTCAAAAGCCAAAAAAGTAAATACATTTTTCACGGGCTAAAATTTGAATATACTTTATTTTATTTTAAACAACAATTTATAATCATATCAAATTTAGTTTATTTAAGTTCATAACTGTTAGGTTTATTAATTTAACTGATCTACGAACAAACAACGTTTTACCCTGCAGATTCCATTCCATACTATCGTAGTTTGTGATTTTTATACAGATAATACGTTTTACTGGCGGGTTAAATAAAATTACTATAGGTGCCAAATGACAAATATGGGCAGCGGGCCGCGGGTTTCCACCCCTTGGTCTAAAGCATCGGCAACTATGGCCATTAGCATTTTGTGGGGGGGGGGGGATCGTCGCCAAAAACTCGGGTGGTTATCCATCCAGGAGTTAGCGACGGCGAACGATGCTTAACCTCAGCACACATTAGCGACTGCGGCCAACCACCGCGCCACCCCAGGAGTCAGGACCCAAAACGTATTTTTACTCAGCTTATGTTATTGTGATACTGAATTTGTAATTTTTTTTTCTCTTAAATTATTATTACAAATATTTTATTTATCATACTAATGTTATAATATGTGTAATACATGTACAACCTATGAGTATTACATAAGCAGATATAAATAATATTTAATGCAAAACTATAATGCATTTAAAGCATACCATTGTTTAATAATTATTCACATGATTGCAAAAATAAAGATAAATCATGATTATTTTTCCTACTCAGTGTTTATTTTTTTATTGTGAACTCTTTAATCGGTTGGTTTTCAGTTTTTGTTTTCTTGACCTGTGCCAACATAACATCATTAATTGGACGTTATTTTTATTAAGCAATTATCATTATTATTCTTGTTATGTATTTTGAAATTGTATTTATTTAGTAAGTAGATATATTTTACATTTTCATGTTTTAAATCTGTTTTAACCTTTTATCTTATGAATTAGAATAATAAATAACAGCAAAAAAAATATAATCATTGCTTTAATAAGAACGATAATAATATGAACATTATATTTTGACAACATTTACATATTCTGTGTCTGTTCACAATGAAAGAAGAATTTTATAATATTCTATATTATATTTTGTTTATCCAAATAAATAGTATAGGAATTTTAAGTATTGAATAGAATTCCATATTTTTTAACAATATTATATACCTTTTAAACTCACACATTTTTTATATGTTATCTCTCCCACTTACTCCGGTCACCCTTATTCCTTTGTCCTTGACTTAGATGATACACTATCTCCCACATATTCATCACGTACTTAACAGATGTCTAAAACTTTAATTATGTCCAATTGGTTTACCTAGTGTTACTATAAATGAACACTAGCTGTTTTTTAATTGACTATACTATTATAAAATATAATATACATATTAGGTTATAAATAAACTTATTTAAATGTATGTATGTATAAACTATGTTTTTCTTAACGTAAAAAAACCTTAATTAAATTATTTATAAAAAAAAGTCTCAACCATACATATTATAATATTATATAGAAAAATATTAGTTTATTATGCATATTATTGCAAACGCACTAGACTCGGGGCTCAAATTAAATGTACGCTTTCACATATTATAATTAATAATAATACAAAAAAAAAAAAAATGAAATTATATTCACTAAAATATTTTAATAGAAAAATTATAATAATATTATGTTATTTTATATTTTCTACATTGAATTTTTAATTTAAAATCGGAAATAAAATAAAATTCACAATTCTACATCAATTTTTTTTTGGCGTAGGTACCTATACTTCCTACCTACCTACCTGTTAAAAAATATATCATGTATCTGGCCAGAATAAAGTAATAATTTTATGCTTGAAATATTATAATGAAGCAATGTTCCCAAAAATATGAAAGTTCAAGTCATAAAAATTAATCTACCTCATAATTATTCAGTCATTAACCTGGTATGTATACAGAGTGTATATTATAATATTATAGTGAGCTGGAAAATGGTAATAATGTCCAGTGTAACGTAGAATAAGTATGTACCTATGTGATAAGCTCTAGGTTACGACTTACGAGCATTGACTATATTAGGTATTTTTTTAACGCTATTTTATAATAATATTATATTTTTTTTTTTTTTGTAATAAATTATTGCAACACAAAAATGTGGCCGAAAACGGTTTTCTTATAAAAGCTTATGGAAAAACATAAAATATCTAGATGTTTTATTTGATTTATTTTTAAGTATTCATCAATGAAAACTCCTTAGGGGTTTTAATAGGTACCACAATAAGAGCGATTTTTGCTACAAGTATTTCAAAATTTAAAAGAAGACGTATATTGTGTTTTCTCCGTCTTACAAATGTACAACATAAAAAAATCCCTCTGAATCTATAGTAGAATACTAAAATTCCACAACGTAGATATAGGGAAGAATCTGTGTGGTAGTGATTTAATTTTTTTTTTTTGATACCACTAACTAATCATTTTTAATAACTAAATGAAAAAAACAATAAAAACCTAATGTTCTTAAACTAATAACTTGAAATATATTAATTATGTTAACTAAATAATAAGAACACTACGACACAG